CAAATGCAAATAAAAACGATAGCTTATAGTACAGAAGCTGTAGAGACGATGAGACATTAAAGGTTTCGAAGTTTATCTAGAATGGATTCAAATTCCTCAGAAACAAATTTTTGTTCATATTCATGAACGGAATCGCGACGAGTAAATATTTGTCTATCAATATTGGAAAACCCGCGTGGTGTACGACATTACGAAACAGTTCGGAATGAAACGAGGTCGTGGAATAGCGTCTACGACTACCACGAAATCTACGAACAGATAACGATAGCGAATCGGTCGTGTGCTGATAAGAACGAACGTTACGCTTGGAACAGGGACAGATAACGCGAATTTTTAACGCTCGAGGACATCGCTACGCTGCATTCTATGTACTATTTTTTGTCACGTATTGTTGGCTGAAATCTTATCGCAGCCAATACATAGAATCGAGATATTACGGTATCGATGTCTGTCGACTCTTGTATTCTCGTAGTGCTTATACGTCACGATACTTCAGCATGGATAACATCGTTTCTCCAGATATTTTCCATTGTGGCTTCTTTTGCCACGAGATGATTTTGCCGTCAGTTCATTTATTTATAGCATTCTATTTCAATTTTATCAATTTATTTTTGAAACAATCTCAAACTCGAAATGTGAATAAAAGAGTCGATATTCTCAAGATCATCAAATACCGATTGGATCACTTTTATCGATTGTTTTGACCGAATTAAGAGTTCTGTTATTGTAGCTGAGAGATGCATCGAATTTTTCCTTAGCCTGTTATCTCGTCGCGTTGCGAAACGCGCGATTCGCCGACTTGCAAACGAGCTAAAAATTTCAAGCATCGCCTATTGCAACGTTAGGAACGAGATCGTCGTTGTTTCGATGTCGTAGAATTCGAGACAGACATTTGACGACGGTAACCAGATACCGTTCAAATATTTTCGAAAAACATACAGTCTGGTTCGAAACGTTGTTTACCCAATTGGCGTACGTGAGTCACGTACCTGCGCGTACCTGTGCAGCGGCTCGGATCGTGCATACCTGTTCGTACGAATCACTTACGTGATCTTAACGAGGCGGCTGGCAGTCTGGTCATATCGGTGTTAGAATGTCCAGTAACCTTTCGATGGAAAAAGGGGGAAAGTATTATAGTAATTTATCCGGTGCAATGTTAAATCACCGCTCTAAGTTGCTACTAATGTATAATTGATCACTGTTAGTCACTTGGGCATAGCTTTCATACGAGTATATACAGTGGGTGTAGAATGTATTCGTACATCGATCAATTTCCCAAGAAACTTTTCTGTGAAATTGCAGTTTCTTAACTTCTTTTTTTATAATCAATGATATTCTACATATTCTCGGAAATCTCTAGAATATTGTCTAAACAACAATTACTAGTTTATATAATTTGCGAAATTAACAAGAAAATACGAAAAATTGGTAGAAATATAGAAGCAATAAGTATTCGCACGGCTCTTATGACGAACCGTAGAATTTACAGTAGAATTTACAGTAGAATTTGTAACGTAAGCACACCAATCTATTGCTTCGTGGGAATTACAAAACATTAAATTTCCAGTAAAGAAAACTTAAAAAATACTCTAACAAAGGAATGGAAGGAGATCCTACTCGGAATAACATCAACATTTATGATAGTTAATTTAATGCCTGGAAGAGTTACAGTAATTGTAAAACCAAAAGGAAATCCCACGAAGTATTAATTATTTATAAATTAATGTAAATTTCGTTTTTTTTAAACGAAATTTTAAAAATTTAACACTTGTACGAATACTTATTGCTTCTGTATTTCTATCGATTTATTGTTTTTTCTTGTTGATTTCTCACTTATACAAAATACCTAATCTTTTCGTACTGTATCTATTCTAGAGATTTCCAAGAATATGTAGAATATCGTTGTTTATAAAATAAAAAGTTAATAAATTACAAATTTCACATAGTTTTTTTGTAAATTGATCGGTGTACGAATACTTTCTACACCCACTGTATATTACTAAAAGAAACGCTGAATGGTGGAAACAGTACTTTCTAATATCTAGGGAACTTAACACGGGGAACTTATTAACACTAAACGTATCACGTTTGGTCAAATGACCATTTTTAAACTTTTATATAGTTTCTTATGTACAATATATAAATCATATACTATTGCTTCATATGTTCAATTTAGTAAGAAGTGAAATAGTTTTACATTCAATTGTATATAGTGTCTTTTGTCTTCAAAAGTCTTGAATCGATAATGTGTGCGTACTCGTGTATTTCGATGCACGTGTACGTACCTGGATATCCGTGTATTTCGAACCCGGGTACCCGTGTATTTAGATATCCGAGTGTCGGCGTATTTCGACACTCGGGTACCCGTCTATTAAAAATACCCGTGTTCTTAATCCTTTAATGCACGGTACACGTGGTCCGTGTACCCGAGTATTTTAATACCCGTTCAAAACCGTGATCTCTACTTCCAACAGAAAAATTCCGATAAAAGCTAATTCTCCTGAAAGCAGGTGCGTGAATTGATTAAAAATAACTCGGGTAAACAAAAAGTAAACATCACGCCCAAAGTTCAAGTGCCCGCGAGAACGTGTTCCGCGCTTAATCAGTCGAAAACGAAAAACATTGAGGAAATCTGACGTTAACGAGGCCGTTGCGCCATTGATGGTCGCCGATACATCGTACCGTACGAGCAGTCCACGATCGGCTGGAAACGTGGAAACGTGCTTCGCGCGCTGGATCGAGCGACGTAAAGTCGCAAGAAACCGCGAGAGTCGATCGGTTCCGGGAAGAAACCGATTTCTTGAATGAGTCGCGTCTATCCGGTGGAATTCGATCCGTGAATCATCGCCCAGAAACCGGAACTGGTCGCGTAGGCTCGCCGTAAATCGTGCACGAGTCCTGAATGAAATTTTCTCGGAACTCGGAACACGCTCGTTGCGTAGTAGTCACGTGGCGCGTTTCTTTCATTCCGCGCGAGATTCTACGAAAATCGTTACCAAAGCACGTCGATGACACATCATTGGCGCGGTGGAAAACGCGATTTTAGAGTAGGCCATGTCCTGGTCACGTTTATTTAAACATTTCGACCTAGACCGTGGTCTTTGTCGTGTGCAGGAATGAAATTAAGCGGAGAGTTAGGTCATCCTACGAGTTCGTGCGACTTATTCTTTTGCTACTCGAATTAATATGTAAAACATATCCTTAAGTGTTATAAAAAAAGGTTATCTCTCTCGTTTTACAATATTTTCCTACATTTATGAGATAGTTATTATACCGTCACTACAAAATTTCTCTAGTATTATTTCTGTAGTTATTATACATATTATGTACATATTATGTTTTATTTTATTTTTGGATTGTGAATGGTTGAATTTTATTAAGTATCTGAAAGGAAATGAAATGAAATAGGAAGGATGTGATTTGTACTTGTATTTATCTCATATTTTATATCTATAATATTATATGTATGTTTATTATATGAATAATGTTAGAATGTGCTTGGTTACTAATTCATAATTCATAACACTTTTAAACGAATTAATGTCTCACAGGAAATACGTTTTGCCATGTAGTCGGTTTTAGAGGAAAGGAAGGGTTGCATAAGCGATTCCAAAGAAAACAGATTATACTCAGGATAAATAGAAACCTTAAAATTACTCGTTAAAGTATTAACTCTTTCGGTGTCAACAATAGGATTTGATCTCTCACAGGCGTATTTACTGAACGCCACTAGACATTCTTATACACCGTACATAATACACTAATTTGATAAAATTTCCAAAATCATTAAATTAAGTAAAATTTTGTATAGCTGTCCGAAGTATTTTCTTTAGATCCTGCAAACTATAACGCTTTCGAGTAAAACTGCTGAACTATTTGGTATGTGATTTCGTTGAATTTCTACGAAATCACATTTGAGTCATGCTTCTTGAATGTCGCGTTACGTGTGTGATGCAATCGACCTAACATTATCTCCTATTTAATTCCAGTCAATAAATACAATCTATCCAACGTCCGTTGTTCAATGACAACAGGTGTAATCTCTGTAATACAATAAGTCCCCGTCATAACTGTGAATGAGTTTCGTTTATTAAAATCTCCCGAAATCCCTGCTACAATAATACAGCTTGCAAATTCTAATGCTGACTTATAAAGCAGTGTTTTCCAGAATACCTCAACGTCCAATTTGTCCTTCAATTTCACCCCTATTCTCACCTGTTCACCTCTACTTTCTGTATCATTGTTTCAATCATCATTAGACTGCGGATCTTTATGCAAAATAAAATCTTCACGAACGTGCCTACAAAAATTGAACCTATATAGGAATTTATTTTATTCTGCAAATATTATAACATGTACTTCACTTTCAATCTTTTTTATATTTTTGCGTATTGTTTGCATTTTGTAGGTTCTTCCACATTCGATTTTCCTATAAATGTTTAAAGATCCGCAGTCTAATCATTATTATTCCCTACTCAAGACTTGAAATATTAATCTGAATAATAATGCTTGGACTATCAAACATTCTTTAACCCTAAATAGCTTCCACAACAAGTCAACATCCAACTTGTTCCCCAATTTCATCCCTATTCTCACCTGTTCACGTCTAATTTCTATGTATATCATAGTTTCAATCACTATTATTCTCTACTCAAGATTTGAAATATTATTCTGAATAATAATGCCTGGAACATCAAAAACACTCTCCAACCCTAAATAGCTTCCACAACAAGTCAACATTCAACTTGTTCCCCAATTTCACCTCTATTTTCACCTGTCTACCTCTAATTTCTGTATCATTGTTTTAACCATTATTATTTCCTACTCAATCATTATTATTTCCTACTCGAAATATTATTCTGAATAATAATGCTTGGACTATCAAACACTCCTCAACCATAAATAGGTTCCACAACAAGTCAACATCCAACCTGTCCCCAAATTTCATCTCTATTTTCACCTGTCCACCTCTAATTCGTTTCCCATTTTTATTGTTTCAGATAATATCACTGCACGTCGAACACTCGAACCATACATTATTAAAAATAATAACGGATGGACCAGCTACTCGGCGTTTTAATTTCCACGTCGATGCTCCAATTGATACCTGACGTACCCCCACTCGAGCCGAACGGAACTGGTTCTCTCGAGTGAGTCACCGTCCCCCTTGGGTTTTATCCAGCCGTGGAGATGTGAAATCGCGCAAGGTGGATGGGAAAACGCGAGGGTATGACGGGTTAGGAGCCGAACGCGACCTAGAAAGTCGGTGCAACAGGTGGCAGCAGGTAGAGCCAACGGGGGATGACGACCTGGTGACTCATGGGGTTGCTCCGGGAATGTTGATCGTTCTTCTTTGGCCCCTTTCCCCTTCTTTCGACAGCGTCTTTACCTGGATGACTCACATTCCACTCACACAGCCGTACGCGCATTCTTACACCTGAGGAAACACGAGGACCCCCGTTTCTTTTTCAGGCCTATTCATTCACCGACTGGATCCTTGCTTCCTTTCTTCGAGACTCCGTCATAAGGGGATGTCAGTCTATTTTCTCTTGGAATGTACTTCTCCAATGTTACAGAAGCTGTGGAATATCAGACGACTCACAGAGTGAAGGTAAGAAAAATTGTACGATTGAATAAAGTATTCTTTCTGTTCTTCGTATAGCTAGAGCTGTAAACTTTCTTCTGGAACTTTCATTGACTAAAGATTAATCAATCAATCTCATATTCCCTGTAAATTATTTTCCTAGGTCACCACGCTGAGACGTCAAGCCTTACCTTTGGCAATCTTGCAGACCGAAGACCAACTAAACAGACAAACCGTTAAAGCTAATAACCATGGATTGAATGGAACCGAGAAGGGTCAAGGTACAATTCCAGGAGGGTTGAGTAATACCACATAGATTGTATTTTTAATTTAGCAGCATAGGTGTTAAATGCCATTGCCATTCTCTAATCGCGTCGATTACCCGCGAGGAATGTCGTTCTTATCTTTCTCTCACGCGCTCCATACCAATAACCGCTGTCACTCATAACTATTATTGTGACACCATTAAATAATGATAGTCCGCGAGATTGATACCCATATCAAACGCGTCATTCGTGGCTGCCCATACCAACACGGCGCCCAGAGCACGACATACGTGCAGTCGTGAGCGAATTTGTCGCTCCCTCGCGAAGACTTTTCGCATTCGTAACACAGCGATATTAATACTGACAGCCTCGCAAGGAATCGCTCCAACATCGAGTACATCGTTAAACACGGCTCTCAATTGCCAATCTAAAAAATTAGGCCTGGATTAGATGAGCGTTAGGCCCGAGATACAGTCGAGTAGTTACGCACACCTAGGATAGCAGAGAATGGGGAGCCTGTCTCCTCATCATTTTTATCGCGAGCATCAGGATTTTATTAAATTACACTGTATCGATATCGGGAAGTATTAGGTCTACCAGAAGGTTCTGTCCATTTTTAGAATAAAACAAAATAATACATTTTTCATGCCTTGAATAAATTTGATCGAATAATATAATTTTGATCGTTATTTATGACATGTTGTTAGCGCGATTGCAATTTCTATATCATTTTTAGCAAATATGCGCATACTTGTTGAAAGTTGTTGCAACCGAAACCGACAGAATTTTCCGGTAGACCTAATATTATTGTAGAAAAGTGTATTATTGTGTTTTGATTACTCTAGATTAGATAATTGAGTTAAAGTTTGTATTAAAATTGCATTGTACTTAAGATTGACTCTAAGTTAAATTCAAATTACTTGTGATGTACTTTTACTTCTAGGTCTGTTAAAATTAGTTTAAAAGCAGCATTGTAAACAATCTTCGACTCAACTGTATTCTCAGCGCATCATTTTACACGATTGTCCCTGCTTGTACATCAAAGACGACAAATAAAAAAATACAAAATAAATCTCCCAGTTCTATAGTTCCTTTTTCTTCGAGGAGTAAGGTGGCATCGTTGCCTTTCCACTGAAATTCCAAGGATACTGCCTGGAGCAACGTATCATTTTATTTTTACTCGCCGTTAAATCCTCCAATTGTAAATCACTTTCATTGTCTCCCCCACGTTCCCCAAAGCAACCGTTTTTCTTTCTCGTCGAGCGGCAGAGGGAAGATCTGCAGAGCGACGCATTTGGTGGGCGGATCGATGACCTTGAATCTCGCCAGTGGGACGATGAGTCACGCTGCGGATCTCGCGTTTCCAGGAAAATTTTCCTGTAAACGCGACAATCGATGGTGGAGAGCGAGCAACTTCCTGCAAGCAGCAACCACCGGCTGCTAATAATTTTCTGAGTCATCCCCGTCGACTCCCGTTACCCATAGGCAGTCCATTTTTGAGGAAAGTCTGAACATTATGTCCAGGCTCGGTTAAGAGGAGCAGCAGTAGTAGTAGTATTTATTAATATTAAAACTGCCAAGGTAAATGATAATTATACATACAGTGGGTGTAGAAAGTATACGTACACCGATCAATTTCCAAAAAAACTATGTAAAATTGTAATTTGTTAACTTATTTTTTAAAAACTGACATTCTACATGTTCTAGGAAATCTCTAGAATAGATAGAGTACAAAAAAGTAGGTATTTATGAAAGTTGAGAAATTAACAAGAAAAAGCAATTAATCGATAGAAATATTGAAGCAATAAGTATTCGCACAACTGTTTAATTTTTCAAACTTCAATAAATAGAAAGAAATTTATATTAATTTACAAGTATATAATGCTTCCTTCGTGGGATTTCTTTTTGATTTTGTAATTATTGCAACTCTTCTAAGCATTAAATTAACTAAATTATTAGTTAAAAATTAATAAGAAGTGGGATCTTCTTCCATTCCTCTATTAGAGCCTTTCTTAAAAGTACTTTCCTGGAGATTTGATGTTTTCTAATTCGTACAGACCAATAAACTAATGTGTTTACGTTAGAAACTCTACTAAATGGCCAATGGTAAATGGTTCGTCATAAGAATCGTCCAAATACTTATTGCTTTGTACTTTTATCCACTTTTCGCATTTTTTTGTTAATTTCACAAATTATATTAACTAGTAAATGTTGTTTGGACTATATCTATTTTAGAGACTTCCGAGAATATGTAAAATATCATTGATTATAAAAAAAAGTTAAGAAACTACAATTTCAGACGAAAGTTTTTTGGGAAGTTGATCGGTGTACGAATACATTCTACGCTCACTGTATAAGTCATTAATGAAATTAAAGGGAGGAAGAACGGACTAGTTTGTGAATCAAATTAATTCTATGTTGGAATAGTTGTAGTTTAAAAATGTTGTATAAAAAACTAATTGAGTGTCCGGGGAAGGAAGAATGAAGTACATGAGTCAACCTAACTTGGTAGCTTTAATATTGAAAAAAAGTACATATGTCTAAGATATTTAAGGTGTAATTGCGCAATTACATAAGAAATCCAGCAGAAATTGAAACAGCGTCAGGGATTGTTGTACGTGGGCGTCGTTCGACCCAAGTGTTGCGCATACACGAAACGCAAACGAGAGCTGAGAAAAAAAAGGTCACGAATAGTGATTTGTGACGGTGCGGAGGCGAGCTTTCGTTCCCAGTAGTCGACCAAATACGAAGGAAACAGTCGTTAAAGAGCAGTGATCGGTTCCCTCGTCCAATCGAGCGCGAACGTATCGGGCTTTCCTCGGTCGCCTTTTAAAGAGCACCGTTTGCTTCTGAGATAACGTCGATAGGCTGGACAATCCGAGACCAGTTTAAGACCAGTTTCCCCCTTTCAGCTGTTGCTCGTAAGGAATGCCATTGTAAACCCGAGCTCACGCACGTACGTTACCGTCTACACGGGTTTTCACAGTGAACCGAAAGAGAAACGACAATTGTCTTTCCCTTTCTCGTACAGCAGGACTTCGTTTACCTTGTATTATGGTGCAATTGTTACCTGATCACGTTCGGTTTTGTCATCTGGTAGCGTTGAGGAAAGAGATATAGGGTTCTGATAGTGTTAACTGCGAGAAGGGGGTGGTCCAACGGGTTGCAACCTTTGTTATACATATCTGTCAATTAAAAAGACCTTGTAAACTATAATTCATGGAAAGTTATTCAGATTTGATTTAGTTTCCGTGGTTTAAAATGGGTTTTCTGAAAGATTTTTAAATAATTATGGGTAAGGATTCGTTGGAAATGATTGGCTTTAGATTGTAGTTAGTGTTTTTTATTTGTTTTACGAGTGCATAATTGCAAAAATAGTCATTGTGTATGCTTTTGTATGCCTTCTATTCGTAGTATTTAAATTTTGATTAATTTAGGTCCCTTAGGAGGTCAAATCGTGGCAAAAAACTGACCTGCCATCTAGCGGTGGGCAGGTCGAACTAGTTTCTGTGGACTTTGTTAAAAAATTACTTTTAACGACTTCTAGCCTATAAACAATGCATTGTAAACTCAAATTAGAGCATACTTTGTATAACAACGTTAAACTATCCATATTTTTAATGGAAAGCCATTTATTCATGAAGAATCACATTTATAAATGAATTACTATATATGTGCTATATATAGTCCCAAACGTGGCAAAAAACTGACCTGCCATCTAGCAGTGAAAAGGTCGAACTAATTTCTGTAGATTTCGTTAAAAAATTAGTTTTTAAGACTTCTAGCCTATAAACAATTCATTGTGAACTCAAATTAGAGCATACTATGTATAACAAAACGTTAAAAAATGCATATTTTTAGTAAAAAAAAAAAAAATATAGAAAACTGTAATTATTGCAGGTTATGGTGGCGTCATCTGTGAAGGAAACGTCCAAATTGGTCGAGAAATAGTTCCTACGTTCGTCCGCGAGATGGCCCCACAACAATATGCAAACATTACAGTTTCCACAATTCTATTTTTTATTAAAAATATGGATAGTTTAGCTTTGATTCACATTCAAAATGGTCTAATTTAAATGAAAAGTTCGTTAATTAACGTAATAATTAATTATATTAAAAAAAATGTAAAGTTTAACTTAGTGGCGCCATCTAGCGGACGAATGTGGGAACTATTTCTCGGCAAAACTTGGGCGTTTTCCTCACAGATGACGCCACTTTAACCTGCAATAATTACAGTTTTCTATATTTTTTTATTTTTTATTAAAAATATGCATTTTTTAACGTTTTGTTATACATAGTATGCTCTAGTTTGAGTTTACAATGCGTTGTTTATAGGCTAGAAATCGTTAAAACTAATTTTTTAACGAAATCCACAGAAATTAGTTCGACCTTTTCACCGCTAGATGGCAGGTCAGTTTTTTGCCACGTTTTGTAATATATATAGCACATATATGGGAATTGCTTTATAAATTTGATTCTTTACGAATACTTATCGAAGCAAATCTTTGATTAATTATTAAAATATGAAGTTTATGGTATAATTCAACAAATAGCTTGTGAAGTATAAAAACGATTCTTGTCTTGAAAATAGCAATTTATTATGCAAGCTAAAAGGTAGATTTAAACAATTTAGGAGAGGAAGGAAGGGAGAATAAAGTATATTTATACACGATGTTTGAATTAGTTTAATGATATTTCGATGGAGGTATAGATCCTGTTATAATCGACGAGGAATCTGCGATGGTGCCATTGTGATCTGGAACATCGAAATGACAAAAACAACTTTCACCCTCCGCTGGGAGACGTTGATTTTCGTTTTGGCCTCGTTCCAACCTGGAGGTCCTGTTAACATCACGAGAAAGACTAGTCAGCGACCTTTCTCAATAAGAATTCAGTAATGATCGTTCAGCAGTTCTCTCTTCTACACAATTATGCAACTATTGTTCATTTCTAGATCCCTATTCTTTATATACCACTTTAGAACACCTCTTTTAATCTTTTCTAACTCTCAATTTACAATTTGAAGGCTGTAATTTCATTTGATGGTTATTTAAACCTTCCCTGAATTCCCAGTTTACAATTCGCAGCCTGCTAATTGGTCCTAAAATTGAGATTATTTTTTACATACTACTTTAGAACACCTCTTTTAATCTTTTCTAACTCCCAATTTACAATTTGAAAACTGCAATTTCACTTGATGGTTCTTAAAACCTTTCCTGAACTCCCAGTTTACAATTTACAGCCTGAAAATTGGTCCTAAAATTGAGATTATACTCATTGCCGAACCAATAAGGAAGCACAAACTTTGCATATCTTTCCTTCCTTATTTAAAATTTTTAATCTGGATCAGTTTTGCCCCACTTTGTCGGCTGGATGTTTGGCGCGCGTTCTCTGGCCTGGTTGCGTGTGATCTATGCGTAGGGACATTCTATTCCGCGAAATTCTCAATAGAGAGCAAGAGAAGAGACCGTTTACCAGCTTTGGTAAGCGTTACGTGATGCCGGTCAGCGTATTCCACTCGTATTTCTCACGTAACTGGATGCTGCGTCGGATGGACTCTGCGTAGCTCATCCTTTCGCCGGTTCTCATCGTGGAATCGCGACGATTTACGATTAAACTCAGCCCTCCCAGTGTTTGCTTTCACACAGAAAACGGTACCGTTCCCCTGTGGAACGACACGACCGAATGGAATGCCCAGGGAAATGTTCATCGATGTCCCCTTGCATCAGCCATCGATGCACCGTGAACTAAGACCATGTCATATTGAAAGTAAAAGTTTGCTCAAACGTTCCGTGATCTAACAAGTACGCCGCACGTTGGGACGAAACGGTTTTCGCCGATCAAAAATCGATTTTCGTGAATTCGAAAAATGGAAAAACTGTTTATGTACATCGATAGAGGATAAATTGCTGTTTAATGTAGTGTAATCCGTTTTTTGATATTTGCTTCCGTTTTGTTGTGGTGCGGATTCAAAGGCAGTTGAAATTCGCCCAAACAAAACGCTCACGAAATTACTCCTAACTTCGATATACGATTCTAAAAAACTTTGTTCAGAAAGACAATATTCAAATG